TTACAGTCTCAGAAACTCATGGGGGCAGTTCTGTCCTGTCCTATAGGGTCACTATGAGTCGGCATTGATAGTTCTGCTCTGTGTTGTGTAATACCTATTATTAGCTCCTACTAAAGGAGCTGCTTTTATGTTATACATGAAGGAAAAGACAGTTCACTGCACAGTGGGTAGCTCATAGAATTGGCTGCTTAGTGAATTAATTTAGAAACAATCATCAACATAAAAGCAGCCTTGGAATAATAGGTACTGTAATTGAGGGAGCAAATGTAACATGTGGTGAGCAGCAACACAGCACAGCATACGGGGATAAGGAGAAACTATAAGGGAAAGAAGTATGGCGGCCAGCCCAAGGCAGGTGGGAACTTAGTTGGGCATGCCCTCTAGGGAAGCGATAGTGCTCACAGACCTACATCTAGCATCTCGAGAGTCTGAGCAAGACTTGTCATGGCCTCCCCATTTATTTTCTTGGGAATGTGAACCGATTGAGCAACAGTCAGAGAAGCCAAGTAGCCATGTGGGAATTAGAATCACCTTTGACCAATATGACATCAGTGTATTACTGTTAAAGATAGGCTGTATTTGAAAATGGGATTTATGCTGCATCACCAGTGAGCTGCTCTGACTTACTTATCTGGGTACAGATATATACAGCTACACATAATAGTGGAGTCAAGGAAAGGAGCATGAGGCCTGAGGAAGAATCAAATCAGCCCTTCCTACAGTGGGATGCAGTTCGAAAGAGGCAAAGAGAAAAGTAGACACCTTTTCCATAGTCCTCAAGAAGGTGGAAGTATTGATGTCTTTGGGAAGGTTTCTATTTTTATGTACCAAGACTGGAACATGGAGTGAGGAAGAAAAGCCCAAATCCCATCTACCTTCCTGAGGAGATGGCCCGGGGACCACATCTGGCCCCTTCCTACTATGCAAGGGGAAGCAGGATCCAACTCCACCTCTGCCGAACGATGCTTACAATGAGGGAGCAGTCAGACATGCCTCTGTTCGCCATCCTTATTTACTGATGGTGCCAGCAATCTTTCCTATAGCACTCTACTCTGCTGCAACAGACAGCACTCAGGACATGGGGTTTATTAGGCTAGTTAAGGGGATATGAATCGCAATTAACAATCAATAGGGGCACAGTTCTTCGGTGCACAGCAGTGCCTCTTTTCACCCATGCGCATGTGTTTCTAGTCTTATGCCCCAAAGACCCCTCATTCTGCAGTCCAGCCCCTTGCCTGAAGGCACTCAGCTGTACTCAGTCTGTGGGCTGGAAGGCACACCAGGCCACCTGCACCACCACTGCTCTGTCGCATGAGGGTCTTGGTGCTGAGGCCTCTGCAGCCACCACGCCTCACACAGGGGCCACAGCCATTTCACACAGGGATCTTGTATGGGCTCCACCAACGGCTCTTCTTCCTGGACGGTCATTGGACTCTGTTCCTCCTTCTGAAATGGATTGCTTTACATCCAGCAGAATGACAGATCTAACCAGTCCCCAAGTGAGGGTCTTGTACATCTTATTTACCTGTTCCCACCAGTCACTGTGTGGGAATTACAAAGACTGCGGATTAAAGAGCCATATCAAGCAATCCCACTTTACTATGCTTTCCAAGAGAAATCGCATAATTTTTGTTTTACGGTGTAAAAACAAAAACTCGGAAATATTACGTTACTGCCCAAAGTTTTTATATATATATATAAATATATATATATTAGAGTTGGAATTAGAAATCAAGTTGATCTAATTCAAAACCGATGCTCTTAAGAGTTACACTATACTGTAGAGTGCTCCCGGGTAAAGGGAGAAATACATTAGGATAAATACAGGAAAAGAAAATTTACTATGATTGGGTTGCTTCCAAGTCAAAGCACCCTGTAGGACGGAGTAGAACTGCCCCTCTGGGCTTCCGAGGCTATAACATCTTTGTAGGAGCAGAAAGCAGATGGTATGTTCAAACTGTTATCCTGAGGTGAGTAGTCCAACAAGTACGCACTACACGACCAGGGCTCATAAGTCATAAGAAAACTCCCCTCCCACGATCATGAGCCCAATTCGACCTTGCAAGTCTGGCTAGACCGGAGGGTGTACACTGGTATGGAGAGGAACTGGAAACACAGGGAATTCAGGGAAGATGATCCCTTCAGGACCAGTGGTGTGAGTGGCAATACTGGGAGGGTAGAGGGAGGGTGGATTGGAAAGCGGGAACCGATTACATGGATCTATATGTGATCTCCTCCCTGGGGGACAGACAACAGAAGAGTGGGTGAAGGGAGATGTCAGACAGGACAAGATATGACAAAATAATTTATAAATTATCAAGGGTTCATGAGGGAGCGGGGAGCAGCGCGGGGAGGGAGGGGAAAAATGAGGACGTGATGCCAGGGGCTTAAGTGGAGAGCACATGTTTTGAGAATGATGAGGGCAATGAATGTACAAATGTGCTCTACACGATGTATGTATGGATTGTGATGAGTTGTATGAGCCCCTAATAAAATGATTTAAAAAAAAGAAAACTCGTTATAGCAAATTCCATGCTCTGTGTTCACCAGAGTGTTGTCTCTTCCCAGGCAGACATTTAAAACTAAGTCCCTGTAAAAGTGGCATGGCATCAGAGTAATCTCTTCCTTTACACGGGAGGAGGAGGAAGGCAATCAAGACCATCAGCATCAGCCGCACAAACGGATTCGATATGTGTGATTCCTACGAGCTGGTGGTCAGACTCTCTCAACCTTGAAACCTTTTCACCAATTCTAGCACCAGCTGCTCACCCCATGGCACTATTTCTCTGTGGGTTCAATCATGTAATGCCAATGATACTCCAAAGTTTCAGACAATATTCAGAATAATTGTATTTACTGGGGAAGAAGCAGGTTACAATTCAGGATCAGAAATGACCCAGCACACAGTTCTTTGATCAGGACAGCCTCTTTATCAGCTGTGTTTGCTGTTACAACTCTCTGGTCCTAAGCCTCTCTCAGCCCCATGGTCATTCACTCTGTGCCCTGCTCAGGCAAGTGCTGCAAAACTGTTTTAGCTCTCCCAATTAAGTGCCAAGAGGCACTCACCTTGGCTACAAATTACTCAGCTCCACAAGCCAGCAAACTTAATTAACTCTGTCACGTGCCCAGAGACGCTCTACCGCACCACCATACTCAGAGGTACTCACTCTATGGACCAAGAATCCCACTGCTCTGTCCTGCTCAGGTCTCTTGAGTCCGCTGCCTCTCAGCATCTACTACTTCTCAGCATCTCTGGTATCACAGCTCTCTGTCACTCAGATCAAGGAAATTCAGCATAGGAACCTCAAGGTCAAAAGACATACTCCAATTTTGGCTCTTTTCCTATATATGGCAGGGAGATCCCCTTTTCTGCCTCCAGGCTGCCTTGTTTTAAGCCTATATGGGTGACAAAATTGACCAATCTCCATGCTAGAGGAGGTTCCATGCCTTATCTGCATAGTCCCACTTCCTCAAGGGTGTCATGCATCTTATTTACATTATTGGCATATTATTTCATCCACTTGGTGGGCACCAATCACCTCCTCGCATTTGCATAGCCTACCCAATCATTTGTTAAAAGTTACCAAGTCCATAGCTAAAAGAGTCATATCAGGTAATTTGCTTTACATCACATGTTCAGCCTTTTTAATATTCGAGTTCTGGCTGCTACAAAGGTGAATGGGAGTGATGCACCCCTTGGGGTCTGAAGTAATGAAGTGTGTGGTTGATTTCTGTGTGTGTGTGTGTACAAAGGCCTCTGAAACACACACACTGATGTGGCTGTCATTAAAGAACAGCCAAGGAATGGCACCTGATCCACGTCAGCCAGTGTTTGTGAAAAATACAATTTTACTGGTTTTAATCAGAGACTTCAGGGATTAGCAGTCTTCTCAGCATAGTGTCATGTGACTAAGATACCCATGAAGAATTGATTCATCATATTCCCGAGCTGTGTTCTGGGATCCTACTCCTAAAGAGAGAATGTGGAATTCTGTGGTAAAGGGATTCTGGGCTACTGGAAGGCAGGGATCGAGGAGCTTGATTCTCAGGGGGGTCTAGGTAAGATACCCTAGGAAAGAAAGTTTTGAACAGAAGATGCCTGGCTCAGATGAAGGAAGAAACTCCCAGATTGGATCTTTAGAAGGGTACCTGGATCACCATGAATTGGTCTTGATTCCAGAGCAATTTTTTGTTTTGTTTTTTTCCTTTAACCCTGAAGACAAACACCCTACTAAAATATTTTCCATAAGACTATTCATGACTTCCAGAATGTGACATAACCAAACAGACAATTTCAAACCCAAATCAGCACTGTCAGAAGGATAGCGAGAAGCAGTGCCTGAGAGAATGAATTGTAGCAGCGAACAGATGTTCCCTTTGTTAGTGTGATTTTCACTAACGAGGTATGTTCGGGGGGCATTGCAGAACGCACCAGTTCTGTCCCTTGTTAGGATCAGCAGAAAGGTGTCGTGGTTGTAACAATGCTCTGGAGGTTGAAATGTGTCCTCCTTTATGATTTGCAGCTCTGATTAGTTCTATTTTTCTGCCTAAGGTGCAAAAATGCAAATGTGAACTGAGAGTCTGTGTAATTTCTGCTTCTTACATCATTGCTAATAAAAAATAAGAATAAACATCTTCTTTTGTACTTCACTAAACACGTGGTCTGAAGTGAATGACACAGAAGATGCTGCCGCCCGCTCTTCCACTACTGTGCCACCCGTTTCACATTACTGTACTCGGAAACACAGCAAAACGCGCACCTGCATGGGAAAAACACATCAATCCCATCTATCCACTAACCGCAAAACTGTTGGGAGGAGGAAAGTGTCTCTGTGTGTAGGAGTCTCGAATCTGATATAATGAGGTAGAAAGAGAAGAAAAAATAAATAGAATCAGTACGCCAAAATCTTGATGTTCTTAAAATCTGAGTGAGGTTTATGTGGGAATTATTTTCTTGACTAATTGTATTTGAAACTGTTGATAATAAAAAGTATGGTACTGTGCTCCCTTGAGCAGCACATATACTAAAATTGGAACGATACAGAGAACACTAGCATGGCCCCGGCTCAAGGATGACACGCACGTTCGTGAAGCGTTCCATAAATAATAATAATGATAATAATATGGTAGTGAGATCAAAGGCTTATCGACAAATTGCTTTGTTAAAATGTGCCTCAACTTAAGGACATAGCCTATAGAACTAAGCTCTTTAGTCCTGAATTTTATGGACAGCTGTCAAAAAATAATAATGATTTTTTGTTTTAACAAATAATAGGTTCTTTTCTTCTTCTTCAGAGTTCTTACACATGTGATTTCATTATGGAACAGAGACTGATGGATCCTGGTGTGATTATTACCTCCTGTGATCTGATCATTAGCTCTTTCTTACTTTCTTTTTTTTAGGTACTATTTAAGTTGCCTTTCTCATTTCTCTGAATTCTGAGTAAAAGCATTCATCTGTCTTTAAAAGCCCCGGTGTCTTGTGTCACCTTCAGAGTTAGACTAGTGTTAAAAACGATAGATAAGGATGGACAGCGACTTAGATCACAGAGACCTGCACTTCCTGCAACAACGTACTTGTCTCACAGCAAGGTACTCATTTTCAGGTTTACCCACTCAACAGCCGGTTCCAGGAGCTATTGTTTTCTAGAAACCAGGTCTACTGATAGTTTGAGCTTGAAAAGCAAGGCTATGAAACTAGTGATTTTATTTTCAATACACTGGCAGTCTCACTATAGCTGGCATATCTTCTTTTCTGGAGTAGGAGATTTAGTATGCTATAGGTGTAAATAAAAGACCTATACCGAGAGACAAAAGTGAACCTTTCAGACGTTACTGTGATGCAGGCTGGGTTATTATGAGTCTAATGGTATCCCGTGCACATAAGAACACATAGGTGTCATGCTGGGAAACCAATGAGCTGGCTCTCATCTTGACTGCAGGCAAAGAATATCTCATCAAAGCTATAAATTTCAGGAGTCTCTTCCCAAATTTAACATCCTTAAGGAAAATGGCTTTCATGGTTCAACAGTTTTAAAGGGTTGTTCTTACTTGGCTTTATAACAAGTGAATTAATAGTTTTTCTAAAACAAATCAGTATTCTGCCACTGTTGTGTGCATCTTTGTGCTGTTGCCATTAGGACTTAACTTCCTCTCCAGGTTACAAAGCCATAGACTCCACATTGCATTCACCGTGGGGAGACGTTTATTACCTAGTGCGATTGCTTGGGTTAGTCCAGGATGGGGTGGGGTGGGGGGGTGGGGTAGGAACTTACGCATTCGTGGGCATGTAAAAGTTGTTCTTGGAGTAATGTGAAATCTAGGTTTAGAAGGGTTCTAATCCACCTTCCATGTTCAGAGTGGACCTTAACCTAATGTTAGGAGCGGTAAGTCACTCCAGGCTCTACTCAACCAGTAGAAATAAATGTATACAGACCTCAGGAAGCCAAGCCACTGCAGAAAGATCAAAGCAATTGATTGAGCTTACTTCTTTTATGGGTGTCAGTGGGCATCTGTGTAATCTTCAGTAACTACGTGAGAGCTGCATTTATTGGAAACTTTCTCCTTTTTTTGTTTGGCATATGGTCAGTTTATAGAGTAATCTTTGGGGGGGGTGTTTCTTTTTCATCTGGGGAAAACAAGACGAAGTATAATGTATATGAGATTAAAGATATTCAGCAAATGCCTCCAACTGTTTAAGCTTAGAGGAAAGTCATTAATGATTATTTTACAACACACACACACACATAAAATAAGCAGTTGGAATGTCGTTATCGTTTTCTAAAAACTGTTAGGAAAGTAAAACTACCTAGACTCACCTCATTTCACCTGAGTGATCAGAGTTACAAATGGAAAACCATTCCAGCCGAGGATGAGCATGCACTATTTGGTGTGCCTGGAATGAAGCTCAAAGCAGTGCAGCCCAAGTGTTGGTAGCAACTTGAGCACGTACCTCTAACTCCATCAGGCTTTCTAACACCAATGCAAATGGACAGAGTTTCTCCAGAAGATGTAGCTGTGATTTAAAATTTTAAATTGGATTTAAATGTATTTTTAACTGCAAAAGCACATTCAAAGTAAAAGAGCATCATTAAAACATGGAATCATTACAAAGTGCTAAATACATTACACATTTTCAAATAAAGCACTGAATAATTTTTGAAGCGTGATGGCTAGATTTCCACCGGCGTCTTTTGTCGATAGTAACTACTTCTGACTTAAGTGCCTTTGATGTTAGAAATACTGTTGCACAAGCTTTTGATTTTCCCTGAATGAAATTGAAGGACCAAACCTTAATTTTGTGACCCCTACTGCACAGTATAGCGTGACAAATGGTTTCTGAAAAAATTCATCAGAATAAAATACGACTTTCATGTGAGAAGGGGAAAAAAAGGTCAAATTGTCTCCGTTTGGGGGTCAGAATAAGCTGTTATAAATACTCACATCACAGCCTTTGTGGGGGCTTTGTTTGCATTTATCCCGCTTACGTGTCTAGTAGTGGAATTATGAGCTGGAAGCAACTGTTGGCAGAGTTAATTTTTTTGACCTGAGAGCATGCTTGATTTCATAAGATCTCTTTTCTAAAGTGGCCTCCATTTGCATACTCCCTCCCGTAGCAAGAGTTCCATTTGCTTCATATGCTAAAGGAAATTTAAGGAGTTTCTGTTTTATGGGTTACTCTCCTAAACCAAAGGATGTATTTATAAGAAGCATTTTAAAAAGGAAAACTGGGGTTTTAAATGTTAAAGGTACAAGTTAAATATAAGTATGTAAAAGGCCTGTAGACAAGCCTTGTCGCATGTGTTTCTCCACACCGAACTTACTTTAGAAAGGCCAGTTGTGATGACGTAACATGGCAACATGCTAATCACCAAATAATGACTCTACTCAAAGATCTCATGAAAAATAATCGAGAAACAATAAAGTGGTTTCATATTGTGACGCAAGGTTAAAAAAATACTGTTTGGAACCGGTAGAATAGTTGTTATTCTTTTTGTTGTTTTTTCCATTTCATATAAGCCAACGACTTCAAAATAAATTACATTGTGTTAACTAGTCGGGGAAGAGAAATAACTGAAGGGTAGCTGATGAATTGCTAACAAATGCCAACAAGACGGATGAAGCGCTAACAAGACTGCATTTTTTAGGGAAGATGGTGAAAGGCTTGGATTTGAATTTCTGCTCTGCCAGGTACTAGCTATATGCTGTATGCTGTATGCGACATGCTGTATACTGTATGCTATATGCTGTATGCTACATGCTGTATGCTGTATGCTGTTGCTGTTGGGTGCCATTGAGTCGGTTCCGGCCACAGCAACTCAATGCACCACAGGATGAAACACAAGGTCCCGTGCCAATGGTTCCCAGCTCGAGCCCATGGACGCAGCCACTGTGTCAGTCTTTCCTGTCACCCCTCCACTTTACCAAACATGATGTCTTTCTCCAGGACTGGTCTCTCCTGATACTTGTCAAAAGTACATAACACGAAGTCTTGCTGTTCTTGTGTCTACGGAGCACTCTGGCAATGCTTTTCCCAGGACAGATCCAGTTGTCTGTTTCAGTCCAAAGTACTTTCAATATTCTTCCCCAGCACCACAATTCAAATGTATCTGTCCTACTATGGTCTTCTTTATTCAGTGTCCAACTTTCACACGAATATGATGAAATAGAAGATACCGTGGCTCAGGTCAAGCACCCCTCTCAGAGTAACATGCTTGCTGTTCAAAACTCTAGCGTTCTCGTGCAGCAGATTTACCTAACGTAACACGTCTTCTCATTTTAAGAAATTCTGCCTTAAATAAACAAAGACCTCTGCCAAAAACATTTGGCTCTGAAAACTACAAGTGGATTCTTGTTCCATCTGTGCTTGGCAACTGATAGCTTAGGAATTGGATCCAGGAGGGTAAAAAGGCTGATAAAGTTAGGGATCAGAGGAATTTGGGGACATTCTTAAGCCAGAGAAAATATGTAAGAAAATCTGTTTTATTAAATTCTAGAAAAAGTGTTTAAGGCCCTGTACCTAATAGATACTTAGTAAATATTTTATGAATTAAAAGTCATGGCACTGCTTTTTGCCACAGAGACTAAGGTTACATCTGCTGCTTCCCTGAGCATTGATGGTGGATCCAAGAAATACACAATCTTGGCAATTTCAACCTCTTATCCACTTATCATGATGTTATTTACTGGTCCACTTGTAAGGATTTTGCTTGTCTTTACGTTGAGTTGCAATACATCCTAAAGGCCCAATTCTAGATCTTTATCAGCAAGTGCCTCAAGTCCTCCTCACTTTCAGCCAGCAAGGTTGTGTCATCTGCATATTGACAAACTGTTAATGAGCCTCCCTCCAATCCTGATGCCACATTCTTCTTCATAGACTCCAGCTTCTCTGATGATTTGCTCAGCGTCCAGACTGAATAAGTATGGTGAGAGGATACAGCACTAGTAGACATCTCTCCTGAGGTTAAGCCACGCAGTGTCCCTTGTTCTGTTGGCACACCTGCCTCTTGATCTGTTCAAGTTCTGGATGAGCACAATCAAGTGTTCTGCAATTGGCCTTTTCAAGGTTATCCATGTGTTCCACATAGTCAAATGCAAGATTCATCTGATAGTAGCACTGATGTCGTTTGTTCCAGGTCCTCTTTGGAATCTAGCCTGAACCTCCAGCGGTTCCCTGTCAATGTACTTGTCTGTCAGTTTGTCATATTTTGGCGGCTTGTGTATTGCTGTGATGCTGGAAGCTATGTCACCAGTATTTCCAGTGCCAGCAGGGTCCCCCACAAAGTGAACAGGCTTCAGTGGAGCTCCCAAAGTAAGAGCAGACAAGGAAGACGGATTGACTTGCCAAAACAGGGGAAGTAGCTGCTGAAAAGCTTATCCATAGCTACAAAACAAGCTATAGACCACTGGGTAATTTATTTCCCTCTATCCCAGCCTCACATTGCTCATTGGAGAAAAAGGAGCCCTGGTGGTGCAGTGGGTTTAGTGTTGAACTGCCAACCCAAAGGTCTATGTTCGAACCCCACAGCAGCTACATGGGAGAAAGATAGGGCAGCCTGCCTGCATAAAGACTTACAATCTAGACTTTGAGCCATCGAAACCTTGTAG